TGATTTGTTTTATCAATTCACGAGTATTTGAAAATCAAGGTCCGAAATAGTGTAATGGCTATCACACGACGCTCTCACCGTCGAGATCGGGGTTCGATTCCCCGTTTTGGAGGTTACTTTTTGATTCGGCTGTTGCCAGCAGTTTTTTTGCGCGATGAATTTTTTTTTTCACGTAAAAGGAACACCGCCTGTAAAAGTACCTAACCTCAGGAGATAGATTATTCCTGTCAAGTAATGATGCAATAAGTACTCAAATTTAAATAGGACATGATATATTATACCCATAATTTGTGAGTGTTTGACGAGAGACACATCGTCTTTTGATAACGGAGACGTAAATCCCAATACACGCTTGCCAACAGGATCATATAAGCCGTCAATAGAGGAAAGGACCGGGCCGAGCTCAGACAAAAGGCACGTTTTTTGGAAGCTTATTCATATGGTTTTTATTCTGTAGTCCTGTGTCTCCGATCAGACGAAAAATGGACTAGAGTGTTAGAAATTTTATAAATCCTCCAAACCCTTGAATCAGTAATTGTCTCGGATCAGTTCGCAATCACTTTACATAATTGAAGAATGTTCACAGAAATGTCGTCTTTCTCTTATAATTTGGGCATTAATCATCACAGCAGGCACCGCTTCACATGGATTAAGCAACGGTACATATGAGAAGTAATTTCTGGCAATTGTTTTGGTTCCCAGATATAAAAGCGGCGGGATTGTCATTCTGAATGGTTATCTCGTGTCATGCTTCTTTCCCTATCGAGTTAAAGTACCTTTTAGTTTTTTGAGCTAAGGGCAAGATCCTAGTCCTTTCACCTGAACCATCGAGTCAACCCATCAAATACGATAATCAGTACTTATCTCTAAGGCCTCTGACTCATGGCACACTTATATTCATGATATGATGCACTGCACTTTAAACCTTCGTACCTTACTAATCGCATAGTGCCAGCAGCAATAGCAGACGCGTAAAAGTCAGTTGTTTCAGCAGGGGAAACACTTTTCGAGCCAGATTTTCTCAATAGGTTCCAAAGAGTATCATTTGAAGTCCATTCCTGTTCCACTGCAACCAGGGGTAAGAATGTCCCCAGGTAGCGGCGCCCTTGGTCCGTGAACAGCACTTTTAGTCCATGTTTTCCAATCACCCAGTCTTGAGGATCAAGAACCTCCTCGAAATTGTCTAAAAGTGTAATGCCGACAGATAGCGAAGGAAGTTCACTAAACTTTATTGGCGCAAATCTCGTATCTTCGAAGGCACTGATTAGCGCATATTGAGCAACTCCTGCCTCAACCGGCGTGTTCAGAAACGTCCCGATACATCCTCTAAGATTTCCATCCTTGTTCCACGTTACAAACAAGGGAGCATTTTGTGGATACAACGCAGTCTCCGATTTTGTTCGCTTCTCGACTTCCGCTAGTGTCATACGTTTAGATGACTCTAGCTCTGATACTAGAGACTCGAAAGCAAATAAGGCGAGGGATTTCGACATTTTTTGTCGTTGAGGCAAGATTGTTTGTAAGACCGAGCAAAATTTGTGGATGGTGCTTTATGGGATTTGGTACTCCGCTTTGGTCTAAAAGAATAGATGAAGGGTGATATATAGTTCTGAGAAGGGGTTGGCTACGAATTAAATAGCTGAGTGATCGCGCTAGTTTGCTCCGCTCTCCTGATTTTTTAACAAAACATGATCAATCGTCGGAGACTCTTTGGATGTCAAGTCGCGGTCGTATTTGAGACTACGACTATGCCATTATTTCTTCTATTTTTATTTTGCTTTTTGTTTTTTTAACTAGTAATTATATCAAAGTCGCGTGCAAGTGCACACTCATTTAGGTGGTATAGCACACTCTTTAGTAACACCCTCGCTAAAACCGCACTCATAACTTATGGGCTGCATTATTCATTCCATTTGCTTCGTGCAAGTCTCTCACTAGAAGCTGGTCAATCCCTAATATTTCGAGGCTTTTGGGAAAATATAAGGCGTAAGCACCCGGTTGTGTGGTGATATAATTTCCTGCGAGATTAACACTTTTCATTGACATCGAAAACGTCGATACCTGACTGATAAGATTGTGGGATAAGTCTAGCTCTTCAAGATTGGCAAAAATGTGACCTGAGAAGAGCTGTGAGTATTTGCACAAGAAGTTTCCTGAAAGGTTGAGTCTTTTTACCGAGGAGCTCACATCTGCTCTCGGTTGGCAAATGTCTAGGCGCATTATGTTGTTATTTGAAAGGTCGAGACTTTTCAACAAGGGCAATTCTTCGAAAGGAAAACTCTCGCTATCAAACACACTCATTGAATTGTTAGACAAATTGAGCTCCTCCAAGCTTCCCGGGAGTCTTAGTGATCGGAACTCCATATCCGAAAGTTGATTGTAAGACAAGTCAAGACATCGGATATTGTCTAAACTGATACACAGACCCGTAGATGCCAAAGAGCGAAATGCCTCGAAGGGGCCCAAGAAATTAAGGTATAGGCTCATAGGCTTGATTGTGCCAATGTCCTTGACAATTCTATGCTCACTAGAAACCTCAGTCGGTCTCGGAGACGCCAAGCCAAATACTGACAGATGCCTGATTTTACAACTGGAAAGTGCTATTCCGTGCTCAATGAGTGGTTTAAACCAGGCCCTCATGATGTCTGGATCAAGAGGAATATCTTCCCAAACTACTAGCTCAACATTGATGTTAGATGAAAGGCGCAGCAAGAATTGAAACAAAGATGGCGAAAAGCAATCCCAAATGGAAAACGATCCATCATAATCCGTGAAGTCGTGAACATGAATGTTGACCTCAGACGGTGTAATGTGTACACCCAAATCAATAAGAGCTCTCAAATGACACAAGGGCATGGACTTGCTGGCAAATTCATTGCTCAAGAGTAATGGCTTTCGGTGAAACATAGCAAACAATGCTTGCTGCTCCAATGATCCTAGTTCATTCCCAGTAAAGTTTGTTCTTGTTAGTTTTTGAACTGACAGGCTCTTGAAGAGGCACTCAAGGTCGAAAAGAAAGGTAAGCTCGCGCTGTGATAAGAAGCATAGCACGTGTGTTTGAATCTCTGGCGGAAAGGAAAGAAAAGATTCCATATCGATTACAGAATGTGGGTTTTGGCTGATGAGAAAAGAGGATGTTCTTAGGAGAAATACATAGCCAGTTTACACATCTCGCAACCACATGTATTTTTTTCTGTTTCTGAGATATGCAAATTGGCCGGCGCATGCGATAACCACTGTGCGCAAACGGCATCAGCCTTATCAGACAACCTTGCGAATTGAGATTCACGTATAAGAATAACTGGCCAAAAAGACCATTTGTTACCAAATCATGTGAATTTGCAAAAGAAATAAGCGTTTACTGGATTCTTGGAAATGGGCCAGGCTCAAAGACTTGAAAAAAGCCTGCGCCGCTTATCGTCCTCGCTTGATCTTTTGAAGATTCTTTTCGCACCATAACCACTATCTCGAGCAGTACAATTCACAACAAATACTTCATTATTGCTTCACTATGTGTGAAACAAAAAATGAATTTCACAGCATCCTCGAGCACATACTTAGCCCTTTCCTTCAATGGAGATACTAAATCCCGCTCGTCCTCTTCGAAAGTCTCCAAAACATGATGCCGACATTTCAAGACCTTGCAGGCAGATGCCGATCACGTGATTGTGACTGTACTCGCGGTGTCTAGATTCTATCGCCGCCCCTTTAGTGTTCTTCTCAGAAGGCAACTATGGGTGTTTGCTTTTCTTGCCTTGGCTTCAACAACGATGGCGAAGATTACAATGAGCGCTCTTCGTTGCTCGGAAACAACAATCTCTATTCTAACGAAGACCTCCATGAAAATCTTTTGAAGCAGCAGCAGCGCCAAAATGAACTTTCCGTGATAGTAAACGATTTAAGCGACAACCTCATTGACGTTTCAACCTTCCTTTCCAAGGGGTCGACCGAAAACTACAATAACAAGAACACCTTGTCAACTTCTCAGAGTGCTGATATATTTGCGACTGCAACTGGTTTACAAAGCATTGACGACGACACGGGTGTTCCCACTTCTGATGCTTCGCCAAACCTGCCCACAACTGGCACGGAGGAAAATGACAAGTCGCTACCTTATCTATGGCCGTTGGATAAGAAGATACAACTTATGAAAGAAGTTTCTGTTTCGCACTCATCGTTCAATGTGGAGCCTCCATCGGAGTCTTTGTACGTTGTCTTCTGATAAGCACTGTTGCAAGATTTCAGTGTTCAATTCAAAATCCGTGAAAATATGAGGCAAAGTCTTTCCTTGAATACAGCCTTCAATTTTTCCTACTATTCTTGCCATCACCCTTGCTACCATCATTGAAGCTTCCACTCTATTCAACAATAATGCAACCTTGCTAGCAAGACTATGCTCCGCATATTTTGCTTTTGCGAGATTCAACCTCCATGAATGAAACATGCGCTAGATAACGGGCTCACACACAATCTATCAATCGGCTGCAAGGTGTTCACTCTTTCAAATAAGAGTACCAAACTTCAGGAGGATCTGTGTCAGAACCTTTTGTGGCGAAACAGAATTTTGAAAATCGTCGTATAGGAATCATGTGCCCTTTTTATACGACTATTCTTGGACGCAACTAGGTAAAAGGGTATACTTCGAGCTGTTTCGACATCAAACAGATGTCCTCCAAATTTTATAGTCTGTAGACAATTCCATAGCGATATCCCCTCATATTTGAAGTTCGAGTTTACCACTGCATAAGAAAATGTGTTCACATCACCACTGAATCGAAGATGTTTTGTCAAATGTTTTGCTGGATTAAGTGGCATGAAATACTTCTTATCGCGGGTTCCTCCGCAATGCGCACTCGCTCTCAAAATCAGCCGATCTCCGTCTTATTGATGTAACTCACAAATTCAAACCCAATGAATGCATTGCAAACATTATATCCGTATGTGGCAAAGGCAGACGCCGAGTTTGTGAGATTGTTATCTCAACACTCTTTCACAAAGACTCTCATACAGAATTGCATTTCAAAATCGATTACAGAGTGCTTATTTCTCATGTTCGTTGTTCTTTTCTGGTACGAAGTTCTTTACTGGTCGGGAATATATATTGGCTTGTGGGAATATCATGCCAAAGACATTTTCAAAGAAGTTCCTGTTCATTGTGCTCATGTCTACGTGCGGTTAAACGTCGTGAAGAAAAGTGATATGGAGAAAGTCCGAGTGTACTACCAGCTCAAGAGAGAGTCCCCCTTCAATATTCTCAACTGGAAAACGCTCAACGAAAAAGGAAATGAAATTTTTGAACTTAATAAATTTGTGAAGTATCACTTTGAGTTTAGTCCCGAAGACTTCGAAAACAACCCAGACCCAGAGCTTGGATCCACAATCGAGCACCTTCGTGAAAAAGTACTTGATACATTTCTTCGCTCGTCGATACACGAAAAGTTCTACCTGGAAAGAAAAGATGTCAATCCCAATGATGTTTTGGTTTTCAACAACAAGACGCAAGAGGTCGAACCCGACAGCAACAGAGCTTATTTGAGTAAAGTTCATATTGAGACAGGGAACATCATCGACAGTATTATTCTTATCTAAAGTTGTATGGCAAGGCTGCAACTGAATTGAGCTCTGTAGTCAATTCGGACTTATTAAAGGCGTTGGTTTCCACCAGTGCTATCTTGCAAGTAGCGTTTTTTGGGGATTAAGTTATCAAGGAATAGAATCAGCTCCGTAGCAAGCCACAACTTGGCTATTTCTTCTAACTTAGAATGCGAATATGCTTCTTCAGAAGACGATTTGCAATCTTCATCCGTGGCAGCTACTACTGGTTCAGCCTGGGTAGACGTTTCCGGAACAGAAGAAATCATGCTTTGAATGGAGCTCACCACATCAAGGCCGGGATTTAGTTCAATATCACTCGAGTCCAGGTCGTCAACATCCTCATAGTTTTGTGCAAGTCCGTCGACTTGGGTCAGCGAGAGACTAACGGCTTCAAGGGAGACCCCACGATACAGAACATCGGATTGGACCGTCCTATCTAGATCAAGAATAACCTTATTGACAGCACGGTAGCACTCGTTTCTGTGAGACAAATCGAGCAACTTACGCAATTCTTCAGGCAACTCTGTTATTTGATTAGAAGGTTTCTTGTGATCAAAATCAAAACAGAGTAAGCTCATGGTCACCTCCAACTGCCTCAATAAATCCATAGAATGGGTAACTTTGTTTAGCAAGTTTTCCCTCACGAAGGTCAAGATATCGTTCAAAAACTTTTTTTCAGAATCCTCGTCAATTGATAAATGATTTTCCGACAGGGGGCGGTCGGATGTGCTTTTGTGGCTGCGTATCATCTCGACCAAATTTAGCCTTAGAAGCTTAAATAGAAGCAAGTTGTTTGCATCCAATATTGTTGGATAACATGCGCTTATCACTCTAATTGCCTGGGATATATCTCCTCTCAAGATTAAAAATTTTAGCTGTCTTCTTATTTCAATGGACGAAAATCCTCTGACGTAACCTATCTCGGGCCCCTTTCCTTGAAAGGCTGTGAATGACTGGCCAGGGTTTGACAAGCCCTTTGATACATCCGAAGGAATTTGTGGGTAATCCAGTTCTAGAAGTTCATAGCCTTCTCCGGAGCTCAATTCGCTATTTGGTTTAGATATGGAAGCTTCTTCGGCCAATTTCAACGCAGCTGATTGGTAGCCCTCTTGCACCAAGTATTCAAGGATTACGTTATTGATTTTCTCTTTTAACCTGGTTTTTTTAGCAACCTTTTTCTCTGGTTCGCTTTGAGAAAATCTGAACAGATTGTATCTATTGGGGATGCCATGGGATTTACATGGAGTATCTTGCTGCATTTTGTGGGGTGAATGTAACTTCGGGGTAGTTCTCGAGTCAGTTTATCAGAATCCCGCATCCTGTGTTGTGCAGAAAGCGCCACATAAAAACCGGGGTGCAGGGGGAAAAACTAGACCCCAAAAAGCAAGGAGCACAACATAATTAGAAGAAGTATCTGTATTTTGAGCTATTAAAAACTAATTGTATCTTCATTTATTCCTAGTCCAGCCTATGTCTAAAATTTTGTCAATTAGTTTAGGGAAGATGGCATGGACATCATGAGAAGCACCAAGCTGGACCAGCCCATAAAGTTTTTAGCTCCTCTTGCCGAGCCCGTTTGGTCATCGTATTGTTCCCAGACAAAACCGGTCCTTTCCCATTCCAGCTGAACTGTATTTATGAGGTTCTTCCGAAGACTAGTGTAGACTTTGTTAATTTTACTTCTGAGATCTTCGGACAAATAATTATCAGAGACGTCATTGTAATGCGCCAAACTCTCGAGAACTAGGTAGTTAATGTTCATCCAGATAGGAGACCTCCAATAGTTTTCGGCAGTGCGGTAGTATTCGCTCGACTTTGAAAGAGAGCGTATACCGAACTCCGTCCAGAGTTCATTGGGATCCGCTAGCAAGTCAACAATATGTTCCAATTTATCAACACTCTCTGCGGGTACAAATTTAGTCAAGAAAGGGAAAAGCGAAATATAACCTTTAAAACAGGCAAAAATATGCTCATCGTCGTCGTCGACAGAAGCGTCACAATAGGTCTTATCATGTTCCGACCAGTGAAATTTGTCTATGTTTTCCATGATGTTGTTTTCAATTTGTGCGTAATTCTCAACGTCTTCTTTGATGTCTAATACCTCAGCGACTTTCTTGATGGAGCGGGTCATCACTCCAACCCAGCATAGAAGATCAACATTGAGCTCTGCGACATCTATGGGGAGCACCCTGGGATAATCATCAAGTCCAGAGGCCAAGCTATGTGTCGAGGTTCTCCCCCTCCAACGGTATATTTCTTTATTCGATCCTCGATTGAATTCATCAACCTCGCCTTGTTGGGATTTGCGAAAGCTATCATAGTGGAGTTTTAGTTTTGGGTAAATCTTCTGGGTAAATTCTATGAGTAGCAATGGGTCATTCACCAATATCAGGCCAGGACTTCCTTTTTGAACGTCGCCTTCAAGATCATCAACGTGCTGTTGAAGTTCCGTTTTTTGTGCTCTCTCAAGAAGTTCCGTGAAAGCTAACATAATTGTGGGAGGGTTGACCACAGCACTGCTTTGAACAACAAATTCGGGTGGAACTCTTGATCTCGCTTCATCACCAAGAATTTGCTCCCTAGCAATCCACCCCTCTTCATCGACCAACTCAAACCACGACTTAATAATCTCAAGAGCTAGATCAGAGTCAAATTCAAGTATGGGAAGCAAATGAAACCCCTCATCCCAGTAGAAACCCCTAGGAAAGAACGGCCTCGAGGGCACGAGCGAGAACAACTCAAAAGGACCTTCACGCGTTCCCACGAGTTTTGGAAGGTGCACTTCTCCGTTGATGTTCACAGGGAGATCATCATCATCTAAAGATGTAGTTCTATCGACCATGTGATCTCCATGGAAGTATGAAAGTCCTCCTAAAAGCCCTGAGAGAAGCTCTTTTGCGAACTCTTTTTCTTTTCCTGAGCATGCCCCAAGTGGAAAATGTTTTTCAAATTTTCTGTCTAGCTTCTGCATCACACCATGGATACGACCTTTGATATTAGAGAATGTGATGGCTTCAGAAGGGCTCACTTTAGCCGCGTTATAGGTGATATCAAACTCACAAGCACCTTGATAAACCTTTTGAATGAAATGCATGTTTCCCTCGTAGTTTAGCAAGTTTCTTGCGATGAGGCCCTGGTGGGGTGGAATTTTCGAAGCTTTTTCTCCAAATTTGTCCGCCAAGTCTTTGATAGAGTCTTGCAATAAGGTAATGAATATGTCAGAGCCCTGCCAGACATGTCCATCTGGCACACGAAGACTCATATGATGAGCACGAGATGTATCTAGTTCGGGTATTGGAAGATTCTTCCGGGTGGGGTGGACGTTGCTTACGCCTTTGCCACCGTCATTGATCAGTATTTCAAAAAGACCCAATTCTTTCGAGAAGCCTGACAAATTAACAGTGTCATATCCACGAGCATCATGCGGATTGTCAAGTTTCAAAAAGCCGGAAGGAACAATTTCCTTCGAAGCATCATCATGCTCCTCTCCCTCTAGGCCAGAGTACCAGACGAAAGATGTAGAGAGATGTTCAAATCCTTCATGCGGCACAGAGTGCACCTTGACTCCCCAATTCTTGCCATCATTGCTCTTCACGAAGTCAATCGTGATATTGATATGACATTCATTATCAGAAATAAATTGTCTGCCACCTATCCGAGGGTCAAAATTAACCCAGTTGGCTTTTGCAAGGTTATGACCTTGCTCATATGCATGTCTTATTGACAGAATTCCACGATGAGAGTCAACATTGAACCACAAAAGACCAGACATTAGTGACTTAGGTATACGAGGGCGGATTCCAAGGTATATTCCTGATCTATATGGGCCCCATAGAAGCGAATCGTCAGATATTCTTTGGTATGTTTGTTCCGTGGAGTTATCTGAGAATGGACTTACATTGTCAAGGTCAAATTCGAATGAAGCCTTCTCGCTGATTACGATCAGCATAAGCATGAGCCAAGTTGCCCATATCGAATATGAATACTTATTCATGATGTGGAGCGAGATAAACTTGCACACGTAAAGTATGTGAATCCGTGTAGTATGTGTAGTACACGCAGTGAGGCAGTGCTACTTATCTGAGAAACTAGCAAGTAAACAATATAGTGGATGTAAAAGATATACGTTCCAAAAAGATCCATTGTTTGAAAACCACATTACGTGTTTACGGCACGCCTATTAAACAGCAGAGTTTTAAAACCCATTGCTGGGTTTCAGAAGAAAAAATATGGACAAACAAATGTATTTATTGAGGTT